CTTGGATGCGACATTTCACTGCAGACCACTGCTTGCACCTCGTTACCTGTAATGAGGACACATTTCTCAGTAGGAAAGGGCAGGTGCTTCTCTTGTCAACCTGGCCCTTCCTATGCCTTGGGTCTTCCTTTTTAGTTTCACTTCAAGATTTTAAAAAATGGCTTCTGGGGTTAGGGTGTGCTTCTGGTTTTTTTGTTTTGTTTTGTTTTAATTCAAAAGAGTGTTTCACTGGGAGCAATGGGGCTGTGTTGGATGCTCGCCTGGTGGAATCTTGCGCAGTATGGGATCGTGTGTCATCACTTCTCTCTGCACGGTAACCCAGTCGTTAAGGTTCTTTTGTTGTTGTTCATTCAAATGGTCACCCCTCATACATGCACACCCACCTCTAAAAGAGATGGCTTAGAGAGAGTGAATCAGTGGGAAAACAGCCACCTACCCACAAAGCTTCCTAATTAATGAGAGTTATTTATATGGAGTCTTAATGAAAAAATTGATCCCATTGTGTAAGTAGGCTTTGAAGGCTGATTATTTAAAAGCATACCCTCCCTGGGTTGTATGTCATTTAGACAACTCTTTGGGCATTTGGAATGGAGGACAGGCAGTTGTGATTGCCCTGTCTTGACAGATTTGGGGTCATATCTGCCTCTCCTCCTTTGCAGAACTTGCTCAGCGGCTCCTCCCTGACCATTTGCTCCTCCTAACTCCTTGCACCGGTGGGCACTTACTTGAGTTTAGGTAGCTGCTGCTGCCATGGGTCAGGCTTTGCTTCTCCGTCCTGCTTGCTCCTCCAAGAGAGCCTGTTTTAGCATAGCCATTGCTGGTGCTCCCTTCTGTCAGAAATGGAAAGCAGGTGACCATTTCAGGGGGGAGACAGGTCAGAGAGGCCCCTCACCCTCTGTGCTGTGAGTCTTCCCTTCTTTCTCCTCAGGATCCACACGATTGGGTTTCCTTTCCCACCTACACTACAACGTGGAGATGTTACGTCTAACTTCATTTGTCTGGGATAAAAATATCAAAAATGTATATGAGGGGACTTCAAATATTCTTGGGAAAACGGAATTGAAGCGTGAGCTTATTTTGGTGCAAAAAATGTTGAAATCCACAGATAGTTTTTTCTTTTTTTCTTTATAATATACATTTTCCAGGAACTTTTGGGAGACCCTTGTAGTCCACCTGGTTTAAAAGGGAAATCTTCTGAGTGGAACACAGCAAGTTACTTATTAGGAAAATTTAATTATTAGGAAAGGCAATTGGATGCTGAAAACTCCTAGAATCCAGGCCTGGGGTTGGGCTTGCTTTCATCAAATGCCTGATGAGTACTCAGACATGGTGGCCACTAGAAGAGTTGGAGGGACAGAGACAGCTTTGTGTGGCTGGTGTTCCATCTGGCAGTCTATCTGCTCCAACTCTGCCTGCTATTGTCCCCATTCTCTGTGAATCAGGATTCTTGAAGGTTGAGGGGTAGCTTAGGGCTTGGTTTCTTATTACCGAATCCACTAGATTTCAGAAGATTCTGGAAAAAATAAATTCAGACAGAAGCTTGACTGGTAGTCTCCCCCCTCCTCCTCTGAGCTCAGGTTGGATAAGATTTTCAATATTTCGATGTCTAGACTAGGCAAATCTATAGAGACAGGAAGTAGCTTTGTGGTTTCCAGGGGCTGCGGATGGGAGAGGGAGAATGGGGAGTGACTGGGACCATGAGGTTTCCTTTCATGAAGTGGTGGAAGTGTTCTCACATTGGACTGTGGCTAAATGCCCAACTCTGAAACATGCTAACAGCCCCTGCATTATGCACTGCAAGCTATGGACTTTATGCTAAATAAATTAGCATCAAAATAAAAAAAAATAACACCATGTCAGCTGTTAGCGAAAGAATGTTTCAGACATTTTGGATTTGTTCAACAGGAGAGTGAATTCCCACGGAAAAGGTTAAGGTGTGAGGTCCTTCACGCCTGACCTACTGGGAAGAAAGTTGGCAAAGGTCACTTACTTGGTGGTAAAGATGTCAGTCTTGTAGTTACTGTTTCTGTGATAACTAGAAAAAGACAAAGAAATGATGAGGTCATACGTAATGCATGGCCATCTCTATTTCAGCAAGGTTTAATATCTGCCGTAGGTTATGCATATTAAATTAGGCCCAACACAAGGTGTGCTTTTTTTTTTCTGTATACTTGTGTTTCAAGGTATGTGATCTTACCCACTGTACTTGAAAATATGAGCAAAAACAATGGGGTTTAATGTATCTGAACAATGAGTTTATAGTTTTGGAACCAAAAGAAATTAACCACTGACTTGGAAAATGAGTTGTCTTGGCTTCACTGTCTCTTATTTGACAGTTAGATCCAGTCCAGACCTGGATTTGACTTTGAAGGGGCAAGCCCCTCTTATCTCAAGTCTCCATTTCTCTGTACTGGTCTTTTCTAGCAGTCACTAGGTCTGCCTGGGACCAACACCCTGACTGATTTCTCTGTTACTTCGTTATGAATTAGAGATGTTTCAAGGACATACAATTCATTCTAAAATGATCAGCACTGTCCCTGCATGTGAGAGGGTTGGAGAAGGAAGGCGGTCTGAGAGAGTTACGTTTGGTGCTTGGAGAAATAAGCAATAGACAAACAGCAAAGACAGACTAGAAGCAGTTCCTTTGCCTCCCCACACTGAGTTTCTCTAGATCCAGTGATGGTAGATTATGGAGGCAATAAAGCTTCGGGTGTTTAGAAGCACCTGTTAGAACAAAGACCTCTTGCCTCTCTACAGCACTGCGGGGAGGTGAGGCCCCCACCTCAAACAACGGCAGGGCCAGTTCTGTGCTCTGAGTGTGTCCGTTGCTACTACCATCTTCTCTGGTAGGCATAAAAAGGCACCTATCTAGCTGGTGTTGCTGGTCTTTGAAAGCAGATTTCATGTGTGAGTGTTAGTGGGTGTGTGTGTGCACATGTGTGTGTGCGTGCATGTGCACATGCATGTGACAAGATGTGGTAAAGGGAGAAGAGAGTGGAAGAAGATGGAGCAGGGTCACTCTGAGTCACCTGAAGTCACGCTGCTGCACCTGCTGCATCCCGGGCTACTGTTCACCCCACCCTTCCTCACAGCACACGGTCCTACTTAGTCAGGTTGTCCTAGCAGGGACCGGTTAATGAAAGTAGCAGAAATAGCATTTGGTGCATGGAAGGGAAGGGTTGTCCAGAGTCAAGGGGCAGTTTGATCTGAGAAATAGTCCTGAGCTTTCACTGACCTCTCATCATATAGACCTTTGGGAGTCTTTGACACATAAAAATAAATTCCTAACCTAAAATTCTCAACCTGTAGAGCCAGATTTTTTTTCTTGGAGAATGAAAGTCACAGAATAAGCAAAAAAGTTCCCTGAGAGTTGGCAGGGGGGAAATTTAAATGTTTCTTAATCTTTGATTTGGACATTTTCACAAAATAAATGTATCAGTTGCCAACTTTTAATGTAAATTTTGATTATGACACTAGTGTTATTTCAACTTCGTCTCTTCAGTAACTGGAATATTACACTTTTAGATTTCTGCTGCTCTGTACCCCTAAATGGTTAAGGAAACAATTGTGATGAATTCATTCAATAGAATATTAGGCAGTATTTAAAATGCAGGTTATGAAACTATGCACGGCAATGGCAATTTCAGCTTTGAAGAAAAGGCAGGATGCATTTTGATGACAAGTACAGACAGTCCTGGACTTAGGACTTTCAATTTTACAACGGTCCTTTTAACTATATGTATTAATGGTGAGTAACCAAATAACCATTCTGGTTTGTACTTTCAGTGCAATATTCAATAAATAACAGGAGCTATTCAATACTTCATTATAAAATAGGCTTTGTGTTAAATGAGTTTGCCCAACTCTTGGCTAACATAAGTGTTCTGAGTATATTTAAGGTAGGCTAGGTGAATGATCGTTAAGTGACATTTTTAGTTAATTTTTAAAAAAGAATTATTTATTTAATTTTATTCATTATTATTATTATTTAATTTACTACAGGGCACATACACTCATGAGAGAGAGATAGAGAAAGAAAGAGAGAGAGAGAGAGAGAGAGAGAGAGAGAGGAAAAGTGAGAAAGCAAGCCACCAGGTCGAGGACTTGAACCATGGTTGGTCATGTGAGAGTCCAGTGCCTCAAACACCATGCCACCTGCTGGCCCCTGTTAATGCATCTTTGACTTATAATATTTTCAACTTAGAACGGGTTTTGGGGGACATAACCCCATGGTAAATCTGCACGTTGAAAATCAATGAGAGCCTTCTCTTCTTACGTGAAGGAATAAAGTCCATGTAGAAAACATATTTTAAAGTAATACAGTGGTAGTGGTGGATTATTAATAATGATTTAGTCTGTTTCCAAATTTGTATGACTTTTGTCATTAAAACAATTATACATTAAAAAAAACCTGGCACTCTTACTTCTTTCAGTGACTTCAGCGCCATCTCGTTTGTTTTTCTTGGTTACGTCCATACCATCGCCACCTGTGGGAAGTCAGAAACCGTGAACAATCACGTCTCTTACCACTGCTTTTAGCAGTGTGGATCTCTATGGTTCAAACTGAGAGCCAGAAACTTCATTGCCAGAATTCAAAACATAATTCGTTCATGGGTACATTTTTAATAAGAGTCATTCTCATTTCTTGCCGTCACACTAGTGAGTAATTGAAGAGTCCCGCTTGCGATGCCATCCCTTGGTTCCAGGTCTTGGTTTTCAGATCTACTGTATCAGACTAGATCCTTTAGAGCATGAGCAGGCTGACAGAGCAGATGAGGTGCCCTGACCCTGGTTTGACTATAAAATCTCCATTCTTTGCCAACATCATAAACAGCTGAAGGATATCTGTCAAGGCCTTTACGGCTATCGAGTAATTCATTTTGATTTTTGATCTTTCTCACAATATTCAGTGGTTTATATGGAAATCTATGAATATAGATATATTTATTTGTCATGCTACATTATTTGCAGTTTGGATGTGAGAATGGTGTGGGATGGATTGAAATCAGAATAAACACATTAAAATGGTCATACTTTATGGAAATTTATTCCTTTAAAAGTATGAAACATTCTCTTTATAACAAACCATCTCTCTATTCTTAGATGCAGACATAAGTAGGAAAGCTTGATGAAGAAATACGAGAAAACCTATTGAGACGTGTGGGTCCCAGCCTATGGAGTGCAGCGTTTTTGCTGTGTCACTCAGCAGCTGCACCTCCCTTCATCCTAATTTTGCTTCTGAAAAAGAAAGTCCCTGAGATCTTGTCTGCTGTGTCCAAGTGTGGATGTGTGAGGCAGAGCTAACATCTAGGGGTAGGATAGAGGTGGGGGTGTAAGACTTAATTGCTAGAAGGATCCCTTTCCCTTTGGGGCTGTTTTTGAGATGGCACCCTGCCTCAGGTTCTGGAAGGGCTTACAATCTGGTGTTCCCTGTGGTCCTTTCCCCTTCCTGCCCCTTCTCTTTCTCCTTGTTTATTTTTTTGGTTGTGGCTCAGGGTGGATTCTAGAGTTCTGTGGCAGCCATTTCTGTCCAGTTGCCCTTTGCTTGAAGATCACTGTCCAGTCTTCATCTGCCTAGTGACTTTGGGGTCGACTTACTCATGAGGCACACTGGACGCAGTGTCTAGGCCCACGGTACTTTCTTTTTTCCTTTTTAGTTTGGTGTATGTGCTCACCAGAGAGAGACAAAGAGGGAAAGAAAAAGAGAAAGTGGGAAAGCAGCTCCCACGGGATCGATGGCCATGCCACAATCTCTTTTCCTCCATTCCCCCCTCAGGATTTTGGGCGCACACACATGCATGTGCCAGTGTGTTTTTCAAGCCACCAAGTCTGGGACTCAAACCACACAGTTGTAGGCCCACAGTATTTTGGGGGGCCCACAAAAATGTTTCAATTTCTTTTAAAGTCAGAAAAATAATGAATATAATCTAACCTGAATTGGATTCTCTATATTAATATAGTTATCAAATGTGATTTTTTTTTTAGAGGGAGATTTTTGCTATAGGGGGCATGCATTTGCTGGAGAGACAGAGAGACATGGAGAGACAGAGAGACAGAAAGCAAGCAATTACCCCCTGGGAGGATAGCCAAAATCCCTTCTCCTCCATTCTTCCCTTGGGACTTTGGGCACACATGCACACATGCCTGGCGTGAGTTTTAAGCTGCTGGGTCCAGGACTCAAACTATAGTCGACTATGTGGGAGTCCAGCAATGTAACCAGTACACCATCTGCTGGTACAATAAAATGTAGTTTTAAGAAAAACTTTAAAAAATGTATTAATTTATTAAATGTTGAGAGAGAGAATGAGAGAGATATAGTACCCCCAACAGGGACACGATGCCATGGTCGGCTCCTAGTCTCAGCCAGCTTGCATCATGGCACACGTGTGCCTGGCATACTCAGGGAGGTCTACAGACACGAACCCACAACCTTTCCATGTGGGCCAGACTTACCAAGTATCCTGTCTTATTGCAGTGCCACCATCCAGCCCCTTATGAGAAGGAAAGAAGCCACCAAGATAAAAGTGTTCAGAAGACCCACAAAAGTCATCATGAGGTCCTGGGTACTTCCTCACTGAAAGCTCAAACCATATGAGACCAGTTGCTCAACTACCTGGTGGAATGAACCAAAACCAGCACGGCTAGCTTCAGGGCCTGGTTGAATGTGCCAACTTCTTGCTCATCAGCATTTCCTAAATTCAGCTCTAGGCAAGGGAATGAGGCATCATGGGAAAAATCCTGGCTGCATCTGAAAAGCCACAGAATGTCTTTATGGATGTGTTTCCTGGAACCGAGAGAAGGGGCTCCATAAACAGTTTAACGAGGGAGTCCAGCCCGTTACCTGCGTGACTATGTCAGGTAACCCTGAAGGCAGCTGGACTCCCTCTCTCAAATCTTTTGTTTAAACATTACTTCCTTTTGACACCTCTAAGCCTGTCTCTGTCTTTTTTTTTTTTTTTTTTTTTTTTTTGGTCATTAGCTGTGGACCAGGAGGTATTGGGGTGATTAAATACTCAAATGCACCTGGTTGCTGGTGAGGAGGTGAGTAGCTCTCGAGGTCAGTACCTGAACTGAACTGAAATATCCTGAAAGGAACTGTTTATAGCAATCCACAGAAACATTTAGTTTCCACAAGTTATTACCTATTTTGACCCTTCAGTGAAAGTCACTGCCAGCAGCTATCCATTTGGGATTCGCTGGGTGCATTCCACCTGGACCCATTTCAGCGCTAAGATGATAGCTCCATTTGCTAAGAGTTCAGTCTCCAGGCAGCAAACCTGGCAAGTTTTGCTTGTTCTTTCTGTATCCAGAAAAATAACAGACATTTCTAGTTCTTCCACCTTTCCCCTAAGTCCCAATGACAAAGCCTTGAATTCTGTGGAAACCGCCAAGACAGTCTACTAAGAAATCAGACTCCTTCTGTTAGGGCCTCGGGGCTCCTCAGTGTTGAGTAGCCCGTGGATAGAACCTGTCCTAGGTAGGTCCAGGGGTATGCCACTCAGATGACAGTGTGCCCCACAACCATACCGAATTCCTGCCAGACTGACAGCCTGAAGTAGCAGGGCTGGGTGGAGAGGTAGTTTCCCTTAAACCAAATGCAAGAGGAAACTTTCCGTAAGTGGATTATAAAATAGAGAATGATAGGTCAAGGCATAACCTGGCTAGACCCACCCCAAGGACCTATCATCTTCTCCACAGGACTTCTTTTTTTAACCATTCTAAGTCCTGATGGTTTGAAAAACTGTAACATGAGGGAAAGAAAAGTAACTGCTCAGGGCTGCCCGAGCAATCCCCTCCAAGCAGGGCACCCCAGGGCTCCCCAGTGCATGTGTCTTCCAACAGCACTACTTAACGGAAGCAGAGCCCATTAGCATAATGCTTAACTTCCGGAGGTTTGGGCCACTTCACTGGAACTCAGGATGAGCAGATAATTCAAGTCCACAATTCCAAATTTAGATTCATTTGCACCCAGAGTGCTGAGGAGCTGCTCCCTGGCCATTTCCCAGCTACTTCTCTTTTGAAGCTGTAAAATGATCCCATGCCATTTTCTTAAGCAAGCAGGTGGAATTTGAAATAATTTTCTACTTCTACAAGCTTTTTTTTTTCATACCATTTTATTTAAATGTTAAATGATGTCACATCTACCTGAAACTTTTCAAGTGATGACATCTCCTAACATACACACCAACAAGGACAAACCACAGTTAAATGATCACATTGTTTTTTTGCACTTTAATGACACACAAAACACTTGGTTCTTGATACGAAGAAGAGGATGAAAAAGCCAAGAGTTTTTCTCTTCAATTTTTTTTTTCAGACAGAGTCTAGCTGTCCTGATCCTCCTGTCTCTGCCTTCCAACCAAAACTATAAGCACATGCTGCCTTGCCTAGGTCAGTCTCAAGTTTGCAATCTCACCTCCGCCTCCTGAGTTCCCTGGGATCGTAGACATGCAACACTCTGCCTGGTCTTTTGGTTGGACCAGTAACTAGAAATCAAATTTGGACCTCCTGGGTGGTCCCAGCCTGTGGAGCACAGGTCTTAAGATTGCACACCACTATGGCTAGGCCTTTCTCTCTATACATTTCAGGAACAAATATTCTTATACTTTGTTAGGGAATCTAAGGTTTTTTGTTTGTTTGTTTATTTGTTTTATATATATATAGAGAGAGCTTCCATTCTCTCATCTCTGTACATTTTAAACTTTAAAACAAAATAACAAAATTGCCAGTGTTTGAGAAACTAATTGACTTGCCATTGACCTGACAACACAGAGGGCCAAGTTTAATGGCCAGGAACACCAGAGCCCTGTGGCTAACTGTCTTAGAAGCTTCACCCCAGAGAGGGGTGTGCTACTTGCTGCTTTTGACATGCTCAATTTTCATGTCTGGGGCTGGTGGGATAGGGCATAATCTAATCTGTGTCATCATACCAGCTTCTTCCAGTTGTGTCCTGCTGCTGGGAATTGAGGCAGATGAACTGAACAAGGGAAACAAAGACTTCTGTTGGATCCTCATAATCTAAGAAGGTGGTTAGTTCTTAGATCTGATCCGTTTCATTAATTAAGGCAATTTTGAAGTAGGGTTGCTCACTTGAACCATCTCCTGGTAAACTCTGATCAGATTCATGGGGATGTTTTGCAGGATCTAAGAGGAAAGCAGGCTCCCTATGATTCCCTGAAGGGCATCTGTCAGGGGCTGGACATCTGTTTTGTTATTTCTGACTTAAATCTGTGCCTTATTGCTTAGAACATATAGGGGGAGAGAAACAATTCTGCTTTTCAAAAGAACGCCTTTTAAAAAACTCACAACAATTTATACATTAATTAAATCTAACAGGCTACCAGTTAACTGTTTTGACTCCACTTCAAAAATTAAAGTGATATTTTGTTGGTTAGCAGTAAATGAGGTCCAGTTCAGTATCTAAATTGGTAATTCTCACCCTAAAGGATTAAAAAAATTTTTTTTTTAGCTCAAGTTGGCTAATAAGAGCATGTACATAAAACTTCCTCTAGGTTTGACTCCAGGAAATTACTGAATTGATTAGATAGACTATTTTGAAAATTTCACTTTACTTAAGATTAGAGGCAGTAGCAGTTTTATAGCATGATAAAATTTATTTCCAGTCCCTTGAGCTTACTCTGAACTTGTCAGCACAGAGGCCTGGGTGACACCATGGCTGTTAGCATTTAGGGACTACTTTTAGGAGGTTCACATGCACCCACACTTAATGTCACTTCTGAGCTATTCTCCCAAATGGGGAGAAGGAGACAGAAGGAGGGGGAGAGCAAGAGAGTGGGAAAGAAAAAAGAAAATGAAATTGAGAGAGAATAAATGATAGTCCCTATCATACTCTAAATAAAACAACTTAACACAATTTAGTCTATAATACTGAAAATAGGACCCCAAACTCTTGCTACTAGAGCCCAGTGGCCTTCTCTTCTCTTTCTCACTCATAGATCTTTCTCTTCGTTCCTTTAACAGACCTACCCTAAGTAGAATGCATATACCAAAACCATCATTTATGAATATTTCCACCAGAGCACTGGAAACTAAAGAACTTCAATAAACATTTACTTCATCCAATAAACATTTAATTTTTAAATGGCAAACCTTAAGTCAAAGTTTCAGAAAAAGGGAGAAAGGTCCAGTCTCTTGGTTACTTACCTAGCTTGAGATCTTGAAGGAACTGGAAAGAACTTTAATAAATGTCCCCCCTCTCTTGCCTTGATGTTTTCTTCTCGAAATTTGCAGTGCGTACTTTTTTTTTAAAAAAAAAAAAAAAACCCTCCAGACCCAGCCCAGGTAAGTTAAAGCTGAGTGATCTTTCAAAAATGTTCGGTTCTCTCTCTCTCTCCCTTGTTTCTTTCAGCTCCTTGATTCCAAACAAGTCCTGACAAAGGTGTGTCGTGGTTTACAGCGTTACTCCACCCTTCCAATTATCTGACACTTGCTGGATTTAAAAAAAAATCTGCCTCCAGGAATCAAACTTTACAGGAGGCAGAAACCTTCTCCTACCACCTTGGGTAGATTAACCATTTATAGACCCACAGAGGGAGGGAGCAAAGGGGAAGCAAAGGGACACGCCCTTTTTCATTTCTCCTTACCTCCCACAGCAAGGGAACTACCACGACTTGGTATTTTCCTTCTCTGGTGCCATGACATTCTTGAATCTGAGTGTGATGCATGGAGTACTAAGGACATGGGAAGCCTGTGGTGGAGATGCTTGAGCCCTAGAAAAATTGCAAAGTGACAGGATTTCTATTAAAGACCTGTCATCCCTATGTATGCCTCTGTCTTTTTCCCATTCTGATCTTCTTGATCTCAGCAGGTCAAACTATCAGAAGAAACAGTTGGTGAACTAATTAATAATAAGATATTAATGACTGGAAATTTGGTGAGGTAGGGGATCGTTTTTAAAAAGAAATAACAAGGGAGACAGCCCTCTAGCACAGTGGTTAAATGCTGTACACAGGGTGTTGGCTCCCACATGGCCAATTGAAGTAAGGGTCTCAACTCAACAGCTTGAAAAACACCCTGGATGTGTGTGTATCTGTGCCTAGGATCTTGGCAGGATAAAGAAACAGAAGAAAAAGGATTGTGGTGTGACTGGACCCCACTGGGGGATGCTTTCTCTCTCTGGTGTGTACATGTGGCCTATGGGAAAAAAATGCAAAAACAAAAACAAAAACAAAAAGCAAAATAAAGGCAACATGATATAGCATTGGTGACTTAAAAGAATGACATGTTAGTAATGAGATTTTTAGGCATTTATCTACCTAATAGTGGAAAGAGATGCTGTTGGGGAGGGGTAAGGACCTTCTTGACCTTTAAATCAGATGACCACATAGTCTCCATATACCTAAGGACATGGGTTCCCAGATGCCCCATAACTCCAAGTATATCTCATGGAGCCTTTAGACTCCACTAGAGGGTCGATGTGTGTTAATCTAGGTAATTCTCATGAGTACCTGGAGTGCATCTGACTTTCCAGGCTGCTGAAGACTAGCTTGAGGCTCCTGTGTTGGTAATGTGAGAAGTCTGAGCCTGGAGCCCACTCAGGTGGTCCTTTGGGGCCATGGCACATTCCCAGAACCCAGTGTGAGATGTGGATTCCCAGGTCTGAGGCACCATCCTGAGATGGTGAGCTGTGGGGTGTCTGCAGCACAGCAGTGATGCCAATCTGTAGTCAGCAGTGGGCATGCACACCCCACAGAAGGTAGCGGAGCACCAAGGACACTTGTAGGGCTCTTGCTCCTAAGCTGCTCCTCCTCTGCATTGGGGTCACACATTTCAGAACCTTTCAGTGATCTAGATTTGATAGTTGCTTCTGGAATGTTCTTGCCTTCTCAAATAAATGCTTACTCACATGTCTGTTGATCTCACAGGAGGACACAGAAGAACCTAGAAGACAGAGAGTTTTGGGCATAAAAATGATAGACCCCTGAATCATTTATGAATTAAACAAAAATACATTGGCTCTAGTTTACAATCAGACATTGAACTATGTGCTGAGAGTTCAGTGCTTAAATGCGTACATCTTCCTCATCCTTTATTAGGTTCACAATGTAGTAGAGGAAGACAGGCCTTGAACAATTTATATTAGTCAGCTAGGATTGCCATAACAAAATATCACAGACTGAGTGGCTTAAACATCAATTTATTTTCTCACAGTTATGGAGGCTGAAAGTCCCGGATTGAGATGCCTGCAGTTTGTACTTCTCTGCTTGGCTTGTAGATGGCCATCTACTTACTGTCTTTCACAGGGTCTTTCTGTGGGTGCATGTCTTGTGTCTGTTCTCATTTCTTCTTATAAGGACTCTAGTCAGATTAGATTAGGGCCCACCCTGATGGCTGCATTTTAACATAATTGCGTCTTTAAAAGTCCTATCTCTAAATACAGTCACATTCAGAGGTACTGAAGGTTAGAGCTTTACATATGAATTTGCGTTTAGAGGAGGCATGCAATTCAGTCCATTACAAACTATTATGTTCAAATAGCTAATTAAAAAATGTGATATTATAAAGAAAGACTACTGGATGCCATCAGAGAGCATTAGAAAAGACACAATAGACCCCTGAATCATTTATGAATTAAACAAAAATACATTGGCTCTAGTTTACAATCAGACATTGAACTATGTGCTGAGAGTTCAGTGCTTAAATGCGTACATCTTCCTCATCCTTTATTAGGTTCACAATGTAGTAGAGGAAGACAGGCCTTGAACAATTTATATTAGTCAGCTAGGATTGCCATAACAAAATATCACAGACTGAGTGGCTTAAACATCAATTTATTTTCTCACAGTTATGGAGGCTGAAAGTCCCGGATTGAGATGCCTGCAGTTTGTACTTCTCTGCTTGGCTTGTAGATGGCCATCTACTTACTGTCTTTCACAGGGTCTTTCTGTGGGTGCATGTCTTGTGTCTGTTCTCATTTCTTCTTATAAGGACTCTAGTCAGATTAGATTAGGGCCCACCCTGATGGCTGCATTTTAACATAATTGCGTCTTTAAAAGTCCTATCTCTAAATACAGTCACATTCAGAGGTACTGAAGGTTAGAGCTTTACATATGAATTTGCGTTTAGAGGAGGCATGCAATTCAGTCCATTACAAACTATTATGTTCAAATAGCTAATTAAAAAATGTGATATTATAAAGAAAGACTACTGGATGCCATCAGAGAGCATTAGAAAAGACACACTGTGGGGAAGGGGCCTTAGGGAAGGTCTGCTAATTAAGTGACATTTAAGATAGGTGAAGGTTAAATAGAGATTATAGAGGTGAAGGGAGGAATTGATAGTGTTCTAGAGTCTATACTGGGATACCGAGAAGGCTCTGAGGTGAAAGAGTCATGAGAGAGAAGAGTCTGAGGAACAATTTTAAGGTCTATATGTTCATGGACATCAAATAAAGGGAGGATGGGGGCCGGCAGATTGCGCAGTGGTTAAGGGCACTGGATTCCCACATGACTGACCGTGGTTCAGGTCCTAACCTGGTGGCTTGCTTTCTCCT